AAATATTTTAAATTAGAGGGAGAGGCATGAAAAATTGTATTACAGAAATTAAAAGATAAAAAGCAAAAGCAAAGACACTTCTTTCAAGCAGCAATAAGACCTGGAAATAATTCCACCGAAGCAACTTATAAAGTAGCTTATATACTCAGGAAAAAAAGGGAAGCCGTTCAGTGATGTAGAAATTATGAAAGAATGCATTGTCAAAGTTGTAGGATGCTTAGACCCCGATAACATTTCAGAGTACAAAGAACTGCCTCTTTCAAGGAGAACCATAACTGATCTGCAGCACGAATTAGCCTTCAACTTAACAAAACTTCATGCAATACTTCAAAAGGAAAATATATGTTGTTCAACCTCTTTGAATGAATCAACTAATACTACTGACTTGGCGCAGGTTTTATACTTCATTCAGGTCATAACAGAAGATTTTCTTTGCTATGAAGAGTTACTCACTTTGGGTACTCTTGCGAACAGAACACAGGGAATAGATATATTCAACAACTTTCAAGATAAATGTCGTGAAGTTGGACTGAATCTGGTAAATTTAGTGAGTGTATGTACAGGTGGTGCACCTTCCATGACAGGAAAACATGAGGGGTTTATTGCACACCTAAAGTATTAACAGATCCAGATGCTCTTATTTCTTTTCATTGTATCAGCAAAAATCTCTGTGCTAAAGCTACTATTTTAAGTGATACTTTGCAAAAAGTTGTAAGTATTGTTAATTATATTCGTGCAAATGCAACACAGCATCATCAATTTCATAACATGTTAAAGTTGAACGATGAGGCATATATACAGTGTGGATTTGTGCATTCAGTGTGGATTTGCCGTATCATTTCAAAGTGCATTGGCATTGCAGGGACAGGTGTTAGCCAGAATTTTATCTTTGAGAGAACAGATAAATTTTATGAAGAACAGAATCAGCAATGTGAATTATTGAAAAATTTCTATAGGAATCCAGCATTTATGATAATCATGTCAAATCAAAATGACTTGAATATTTCTTTGCAAAGTAAAACTAAGTCTGTATAGGATATGTGGCCAAAAACCCAAGCATTTCGAAAAAAGCTATCTTTATTAAAAACTTTTCTTCTTAAAAAGGAAATTTTGGATGAACGTTTTCCCCAGTTAGCAAAGGTCATTGGTGAGTAGGATGATATATGTGAATCATTTGAAGAATATGCATCTGTTATAGACCTCTTAATTGGAGAATACAATGAAAGATTCAGTGACTTTGAGAATCATGACATGACACTCAAATTAGCTTTTCAGCTAATTTAGCTTTTCATCTGTTGATATTACCAAAGCACCTAAAGAACTACAGATGGAAATGATTCAGCTCTCAGGAGATGACATTTTAAAGTCATTGTTTGATGCTAAGAAAGACCCAATTGGAATATGGAAAAATGCAGTAGAATTCCCACACCTTTGGCAACATGCCTGAAAAATGCTTCCATGCTTTTCGACCACTTTTTGCTGCAAATCTACATTCTCCTACCTAACCCAAATCAAGA